GGCGCCTTGGTCTTGGCGTTAAGCCCGCCCACGGTGCTTGTTCCCGCTCGCCCTTTCCCGCCTAAGTGAGAGCTTCCTCCCTCGCTCCCGTTCCTGCGGGGCTCACGGAGGGGACCTGGGGGGACCGCTGACCCCGACACAGCGAGCGAACCACATGAAGTTGCCGGGTTTGGACCGGCCCCGGGCGGGGAAGACGGCAATTTCATGTGGTTCGCCGCATCCTGGGCCATCATCGTCCTTCCCGTCGCCCCCGACAGAAAGCGCAGGTCCCCGCCCCGGGCGCGCAGGAGGAGCCGCTGCTGCGAGAAAACCCCCGCCGCTTCGTGGTCTTCCCCATCGAGTACCACGACATCTGGCAGATGTACAAGAAGGCCGAGGCCTCCTTTTGGACCGCCGAGGAGGTAATGGGGCCCAGAGCCCTGGGGCGCCCCCGACTCTAGACAAAGACCCGGCAGTGGCGGCGGCAGCCTGTGTGGGACGAACTTGGCTCTTCCCCTTGGGCAGTGATGGCGAACCGTTTGAGCTCAGCGTGTCAGCATTTTGAAAAACCCTAACTTAACTCTGGTGCCGTGTCACATAGAGAAATTTTTTGATATTTGCAACCACAGTAAAACAAAGACTTATATTTTTGATATTTGTTTTATATATTTAAATGCCATTGAACAAAGAAAAATCAACCAAAAATATGAGTTCGCGTGTCAGAGGTTCGCCATCACTGCCCTTGGGGATGGCTGCCCACCCGGGCCCAGGCGGGTCCATGTTCTAAGTGGCAAGGGACCCTCACCCCAGGGGGGGTCTGTGACCCGAGGGCGGCAGGAAGGTGGAGAATTGTTGGGGCGCGGGAGGCCCTGCGTGCTTGACCCCCTGTGCCCTTGGCGCCAGGTGGACCTCTCCAAGGACCTGCAGCACTGGGAAGTCCTGAAGTCCGAGGAGAGGTACTTCATTTCCCACGTCCTGGCCTTCTTTGCGGCGAGCGATGGCATCGTCAATGAGAACCTGGTGAGTGGGCCGCCCCGCAAAGTCTGCTTGCACCCCCAAGATGAGGGAGAATACATTCCCTGTCCCTCATCTCCTAAGTTTTCCCGTTCTGAATGGCTGGCTGGCTGGCTGTCAGCTAGGTTTACGCTTCGTCTCCTGACCCATCACACGCTTCGCAGCTACTTCTCCTGGCGGGAGAAGCTCAGACAATGTCAGGTGGTAACAGGTTCTCGCCAGGTGTTCACAGACAAACGGGGGTCCTCTGTCTGATGGCCAGACAGGTGGCATGACGTGCCCAGCTTTGTCACAGCACAACAGACTTAAAATGGTACAGGAAAGGCAGCTGGTGCAGCCCCGCGTCCATTGTCCGACCGAACTGGCTGGTAGTTCTTCACGCTGCATTTCCTGTGTCCGCCACTAGGTGGAGCGGTTCCGCCAAGAAGTTCAGATCACAGAGGCCCGCTGTTTCTACGGCTTCCAGATCGCCATGGAGAACATCCACTCCGAGATGTACAGCCTCCTCATTGACACCTACATCAAGGACCCCAAGGAACGGTGAGTGTCGTGGCAGCCAGCACGGTGAGGGTCACACGCCTTTTATGTCAAGTTCTGCATTCGTTCCAGCGGGGGCAGAAAAATGACTCACCTGATAAGTCACAGAGGTTCCCTGAGGGCGTCTGCTTGGAGGAGAAAGCCTGCATTCACTTGATTAGCCAGTCACTTGAGATCAAAGCTAGGAGGCTGCTCCGTGTTTAGGGTGGGAGGATGCCATAGTCATCTAATCCGATGCTTTCAGTAAAATCTAAATCTTACCTACAATGTGAGGCGGGGCAGGGTGGAGAGGGCGGGGATACAACATAGAAAGCAGCTTGTCTTAAGAACGAGTAATCTGCCCCACTAGCCAGTGTGGGACTGAAGCATCAAGGGTTTGATTCTGGCCAAGGGCACATACCTTGGTTGCGGGTTTGATCCCCTGGGGGGAGGCAGCCAATCGATGTGTCTCTTTCTCACATCAATGTATCTCTCTGTCTCTCCCACTCCCTCTAAAAATCAATGGAAAAAAATATCCTTGGGTAAGGATTAACAAGAGCTAATAATCCTATATCATAAAAACGTAATTTGCTAAGTGTCCAACTGACCTTTGATCCACTGCTCCACCAGTCGCTATGTCGTGCACTGACCACCAGGGGGCCGACGCTCCAACTGGCAGGTTAGGTTGCTGCTGGGGTCCAGCTGATAGGGACTGGGCCAGAGGGCCGGACACATCCTGGAGTCCTCCCATGGTCCCTCCCCAGCCGGCCAGCCCCCATGGGGACTGGACAAGACAGCCGCGATCGACCCCACTTGCTGGCCAGGCCGAGGAGCCCCACCTGCGCATGAATTCGTGCACTGGGCCCCTAGTCAGATACAGAAAATAAGACCTAGAAGTACAAGTGAGGAATTACATGATACGGGAGCCCACCCTCAGCCCCTAACTCCATCCCCAGGGACATGTTCCAAGAAACTAGACAGCACTGAACCCTATATATACTATGCTTTTCCTCTATATTGCACGCCTATGATAAAATACAACTATAAGTTAGGCACAGGGAGAGAGTGACAACAGTAGCTAATAATGAGTAGAACTGTTGTAACAATACGCTGTAATCAAAGTCCCAAGAATGTGGCCTCTTTGACGGCTAAGTGACCGATGGGCCTACGTGACTGATGGGCGGTGGGTGGTGTGTGCAGCCTGGACCCTTGGACAGGAGGATTCATGTTCCAAATAGGAATTGAGCCAGTAAATGCCCGTGGTCAATGGACTAAGAGTTTTAGTGTGAGTAGATCTTGGGGGTCCGTACAAAGAAATCAATACCTACATTTATATGAGCATAAACCAAGTCACAGTAATATGGGATTTAAGAAGCACAGTGAAGGGAAAGGCCAGTCCGTAAAAACGTCCGTGTGAGCCCCAGTTTGGCCTCGGGCCTGGAAACATGTGGCCAGGTCTCGGCTGGGACCGCTGACCGCTGTGTGCCTCCAGGGAGTTCCTCTTCAACGCCATCGAGACGATGCCTTGCGTCAAGAAGAAGGCAGACTGGGCCTTGCGCTGGATCGGGGACAAGGAGGCCACCTACGGTAAGGGGACCCCGGCCCTCAGCCCTCGCCTGCGGCCCTTCCTGCGAAGGGGCACGCGCGCTCACGGGGAACGTTTGGTGTTCACGCTCACACAGGAGAACGCGTGGTGGCGTTCGCCGCAGTGGAGGGAATCTTCTTCTCCGGCTCTTTCGCGTCGATCTTCTGGCTCAAGAAGCGAGGCCTGATGCCTGGCCTCACGTTCTCCAACGAACTTATTAGCAGAGATGAGGTGAGTCTAGTTCAAGCCACAGGCCACCCGCACCCCAACACCAGCTCTCAGGCGTGTGCACCGAAGGGACCCAAGATACTGGGTTGCCTCACAGCCACTGCCACGCGTGAAATTCAGCCACAGACATACCTGTCAGGATGAAACACGTTAACTAACAGCCTCGTATTCTCAGTATATCAGCACGCTTACAGCACTTCTCCACGGATGACAGGGTTTCCAGAGGAATGTTGTGTTTCCTGGTATTCTCTGTGCTGCTGTCAGTCAGAGCTGGGGGGCATCTTGGTGGAACCAGAGCCCATTCTGGTCCGGCGTGTCTGAGGGCCGGGATTAGCTGCAGAGGGGAGGGGAGGGGAGGTGCCAGCGGTTCTAGTTCAGGCCAGGCAGCACCTTGGGACTCGATGCACTGAGCCTGGCAGAGGTGACACTTGGAAGGGCAGTGCGTGTCCTCACATCAGATGGCAAATCCCCAAAGCAGCCTGTCAGCCCTGCCTTTCCTGCTGGGAGGAGCCTCCATGTGAGCGCTCGCGCCTGCGTGCGGGGTGATAGGAAGGGTGCTGAGCGGAAGTTCACATCACAGCAGGGACCAGGCCTGCTGCGGGCGCCTGGGGGCA